TACGCCACTGACGCTGTGTTTATGTACACACTGCACACTGATATGTGCTATGATTTAACTGTTATGCCCTTATATATTGCCCTGTATCCCTCAGTGCAACTGGCCATTCTGATTTAACCACGTAATCACAGTTGTTGTCGCTACGCCACTGACGCTGTGTTTGTTCACACTGCACACTGATATGTGCTAAGATTTGCGCCGTTATATGCTGCCCTGTTTCTTCAGTGCAAATGGCTATTCTGATTACCACGTATTCACAGTTGTTGTGCGATGAAATGACGCTGTGTTTACGTGCACTCTACACACTGATATGTGTTCATGATTCATGCCGCTATAAATTGCCCTGTATCCTTCAGTGCAACTGGCTATTCTGATTCACAGTTGTGCGATGCCACTGACGCTGTATGTACACTGATATGTGTGTGTTATGCTTATGCCACGATATTGCCCTGTACCCTTCAGTGCAACTGGCTATTCTGATTACTACGTATGTATTCACAGTTGTTGCGTTGCAACGGACGCTGTGTTACGTACACACTACGCACTGTTATGTGTATGATTTATGCCATTATATATTGCCCTGTTCCTTATCCTTCAGTGCAAATGGCTATTCCGATTACAACGTATTCACAGTCTTGCGATGCAACTGACGCTGTGTTACGTACACACCGTACACTGCGTTATGAATTTTGGCGTTGTTGCCCTGTATCCTTCAGTGCAAATGGCTATTCTGATTACTACGTATTCACAGTTGTTGTGCGATGCAACTGACGCTGTGTTACGTACACACTACACAGCGTTATGTGTTGGGATTTATGCCATTATATATTGCCCTGTAATTTTCAGTGCAAATGGCTATTCTGATTACTATGCAGTACGTATTCACAGTTGTTGTGCGATGCAACTGACGCTGTGTTTATGTACACACTAATGTGACTATGCTATCGCGTTGCCCTGTATCCTTCAGTGCACCTAGCTATCCTATCTAACTGTGCATAGTCACAGTTTGTCGCTACGGCGACTTGCGCTGCATCTGTGTCCACACTGAAGCGTTATGCAGTTATGTTGCTAACGTAACTGACCATTATGTGAACTGTGCATATTCATGCAGTCTCGGTCGCTTCGTCGACTTGCACCGCATTATACACTCAGATGTTTGATATGTGCACACTGATGGGTAATGCTGTTATGTTGCCCTCTATCCTTCAGTGCAACATCCAGCTATCCTATCTAACTGCATATTCAGTTCTGTCGCTATGGCGACTACACGGCACGTACAAGGACGTGTTTTTGCTATTTTGTTGCCCTGTTTCCTTCAGTGCAAAACTAGCTATCCTAATCTAACCGTGCATATTCACAGTTCTGGATGTATGTACGTAAACGGATGTGTTATGCTGTATAGCTGCCCTGTTTCCTTCAGTGCTGCTAGCCATCCTAATCTAACTATGCATCTTAGTTTCTGTCTCTACACAGTTTCTGTTGCTACAGCGACTTACGCTGTGTTATGTACATGCAAGGATGCGCTATTCCTTACTCACTTGTGTTATGCTGCCATGTTGCCCTGTATTTCAGTGCAACCAGCTATCCCAGTCAAACTGTGCATATTCACAGTCTCCGTCGATACGGCGACAGGCGCTGCATTTATTTACAAATGGATGTGTTCATGCAGCGGTGTTGCCCCGTATCCTTCAGCCTAATACGGAGCTAACTGCGACCTATGCTGTACGTGCATGTGCTACGCTGTTATATTGCCCCGTTCCTATCAGGGCAACTGGTTATTCTGTGCAAACTCATATATTCACAGTTGTAGCTACAGTTATGACTGTGTTTGTTTGCTTACTGAGGTGCTATGCTATTATGGGGCTATTTTCTAACTGCGTATATTCACAGTTGTCGTCGCTACGGCCACTGGCACTGTGTTTATGTACATTCAGTTATGTGTTGATTTGCACTTCTGTACATTGACTATAGAACATCGGCTATGTTCTACAAGGTGGCACCCCAGCCCCAAGCTGTGGAACCTTCTTGTGTGTCCGTTGCTGGGTCCTTAGTTGAGCAAGACACTTCACACTGACAAGTGCTGAGACGGAGCTCTCCCTAAGATGGCCTTACCACCGGCTCTCGCCCCAGCGAAGCACTTGGAGACTTACGCTCATTCTAGTGAATGTTGTCGCATTGTCTCGGACCTGATGACTGCAGCGTCACTCTCAGTCCGATACCAAGCTACGTTCCGAAGTCGCTTACACCGTTCAGAGCACAGGTTGATCCCTGCCCGCCTTATCTGCTGAGTTTCAGCCTCGCATGATGCCGATGCTCAGAGTGATGTTGGCCCTGTAAGGGATTTGTGGATGTACGTGGATCACTTGGCAGCAGTTTACCAGCTGTTTGTGTGCTTGGTGGATGGTACTGGGGACGTGCTGTTTTATACAGAGACTTCTCTCTGAATTCGATGCTTTAAATGGTTGCTTAATGCCTACAGGATTTAGGTATGCTGGCTGTCTTCTCAGAAAACATTCGCCAGGGTTCCAAGTTTGATGCACCACCTTAGCGTCGTGGGTTCGGTGAGTTTTATCAATGTACTCATGAAACTGTGACCACCAGCTGTGCAGTAGTCTGTGTTGCAGAGTTACCATTGCTGCTAACTCTGTGTTATGACTATAAGGTTACATAGCTGTTTCCACATTACGCAGTAGTTCCAACGTACTGTTAACTCTGTGTGTGGCTTAAGGTTATGCAGCTGTCACCGCTATGCCGTCGACACTGTGTTAGCTCTTGTGCTCGAGTGCTTATGGTGTTCTGCTGCCCTGTCCAGTGCAGCCTTCGCCTCATTGCAGTGGATGCGCAACTTGGTAAGCCGGAGCAGACGTTGATCTAGTTTCGCCTATCAGTTTTGAGTGCTCCTAGCGGCGCTGCTGGCTTAGAACTGTTGTTCCTGTGGGAGTGTAGCTTGACCCCGTTCAGGGCTTATCTTCACTGCGCTCACGGCGGGATTCTATACAGTTCCCATATACGTCAGTATGACGTAATGTCGAAGTGACCGCCTTGAAAGGGAACGTCTCCGGTTACTATCGTAACCTCGGTTCCCTGAGAGGCGGGAACGAGACATTACGTCAACCGCCGTGCTCGCCGTTTGATCAGCTGTGCTAGCGTTCAGTCTTGATTCTGACGTAATTGTCGCGCCCATGCTATTTATACTGCCCGCGGACCGGTCAGCATTTGCATGTTTTGCGTCAATTGGCCAGCTGTCTCCAGCTGGCGTTAACCTATAAGATTTCAGTGAAAATGGAGAAGGGAGGAGTTCCCATATACGTCAGTATGACGTAATGTCGAAGTGACCGCCTTGAAAGGGAACCGAGGTTACGATAGTAACCGGAGACGTTTTCCACCACATAATGTTTATTTTAGGTTTCAGACATTTAAATTCACATAAGTAAGTTACTTAAAAAAGAGTTTGTCAAATAGCCTACACACTTATGTCTATGGAAGCGGCAATAATAAATATTTCCATTATAATTAGACGACACGTGTTATTCATATCAAATCCACATTGTGTAAGTAATTTTCAAGTTTACTCTATGCTTCTCCCAGTTCACCGGCAACTTACTTTCATGTATTTCGGGAGAAGTGGATAAATTGACGTGTTAAATCCAACAGATCCAATTCTCTAAAATGCGGCATAAACTAACGCCCATCGCGTATAGCTCAACTAAGGTGTTTAAACAATAAAACACATCGACTTGCTCATATTTGACAATCGGAATATCAGATATTTCCTGCTATAGCCAACAAATTTGTGAAATAAAAGCAGATAATCAGTCATTCAGCGCTATTGTGGCTGCGGTGTGACAAGCAATGACGCGTCACCATGGAATAAACGATCTAAATAACGGGCGCCTCTAAAAACTTTTAAACTTACGTGTGAAAAGGTTAAGTAAGGCTTACATTTAAATCTGTAGCTGTTTTTTTGTTTTTTTTTTGCGTTTATGCTCAATAAATAAAGGAATTAATAGAGATGGGCACAAAAATTACCACATTTTCTCCCGTTTGTCGCGCCCCACTTGTCATGTTTCTATTCCCCACCAGTGGGGCGCACCCCACACTTTGAGAAACGCTGGTCTAAACCAAATCACAGAAAAAGCAGTATTTGGCATAAAGAGAGAACTACTTGTTTAAAAAAATTTGCAATCAAACAGCAGAACATTCTGCGCAGCGAGAGAGACTGAGCTGAGTCGTGTTTCTGGACTCTTGGGTGACCAATCATGACCAGTGCCCAATTTATCCATTGTGTTTTGCTGTAATATAAACTGTTCATTATAGGCTGCCAGTTTGCAGTAACAGCGATGGCTTAAGTATGTGGAACACACCCTATATTATGAAGCTCATCTGCATAAAATTGGATAATTTTGAGCCAAAATATGTAATTAACTGCTTTTCATGTATATTTAAATGTAAATGAGTAATTTGGTGAAATTATATTCTTTACAGGGCTATTATATTCATCAGTCTTTTCCACTGCACTAAATCTGCAGATCACATTGTCACATATCACAAGTGCATTAAGAAACTGAACCTTAATGGCTTATATAACAATGCAACATTCTTCTTTTGATGGATAATTGCGTAATTTTGGATTTATCTTCAACTAGTATGCTAATGTTCCAGCTTAAATGGTTTTGCTGTTAAAAAAGGGATGTTGCTGCTAAATATGAACCTTATAAAAGGTCTCATTTGTGTTTTATGTTTCAGTAAATTTCCTAAAAACTAAAATGAGAACTTGAGAGCCGAAAAAAAAAAAATATGAATAGCAAGAACAAAGGGAAGTAGATGCAAGAATGTTCGTTTATTATGGCAAAGTTATGTATCCGAAACGTGTAATTGTTGATTATGATTATTAATCATGTGCTTTTCAATTTGCAACAAGAGAAAACAGTGTCCAAAGCAGTACAAAATATCTCTCTCTCGCACACCCATTCAAAATAAGAGAAACTGAGGAATCGTACCTGATGAGCCATTTGTAAAGTCCCACGTCAAAGTGTCTGAAAAGCAAAAAGACAGTAACGAGTGAGCTCAGGGGTTAAACACAGATGGTTTGAGGTAACACACGCACTTCTGTAGAACATGACACAACACAAATATGTGTTTAATCAGTCAACATCCAGAACAGAAAAAAAAAAAGAGAGAAGAGAATCGGCATAAATGAGATGCTTGAGGAAACCATTTTAATGATTCTCTAGGGGCAAATGCTGGCATTTGCTGAAACGGTTGTAGTACCGGGAGACATTTTTTCAAGGCGGCTGATCCCAGAACAGTTTTGCTGATTGACTAGTTGAGCTGTAGCCTGACACTGGGTTTTGTGGCAGGTCTAGGACACACAAAATTGATCTGGGAGACAGAACTAATATTCATGCAGTCATATGAAACTATTCTTATTTTTGCCAGCATGCAAAACTTGCCACCACAATGCTAGTGTGTCACTGGTCAGGTGGTTGTCAGGGCCTTGGTTGCTCAAGTGTTCCAATTGGTTTTAGTGAGCTATGTAGTTGCTAGGGTGTTCTGGGGTGGATGCTACGGAGATTTTTACTGGCCTGAGACTATCCCAAAGTCTATATGACATTTTGTTCATAGGTATGGCTCTGTTTTTTTTTTAATTAAAAATAAATAAAATAAAATATTAAAAATATAAATATAAATAAATAATAATGTCATTTTAAATAAAGTAAAATATAAATAAAAACAGTAAAAAAATCAATAAAAATCACAAAAATAAATATAAATACATTTACTTCAAAAGGGTAGTAAAACATTTTTTTCTTCTAAATATAAAAAATATAAAAATAAAGAAAAATCATAAAACGTCACATGTACGTCACAATGGCAGTAAAACTAAAAAACGCCCTTCTAAATATTTAATCATTAAATCTTTTTTTTTAAATTATAAAAATTTGAAAAATAAATATAAATACATTTACTTCACAAAGGTAGTAAAACACAAGCTAATAGTTCCCCTGAGGAAAATGTAGTGATGGCGGGTGGATAAGACACATGCCTTGTGTGAGAGACCCGGGTTCGAATCCACTGCGAGACACCAATGTGTCCCTGAGCAAGACACTTAACCCCTAGTTGCTCCAGAGGCGTGAGACCTCTGATATAGCAATTGTAAGTCGCTTTGGATAAAAGCGTCAGCTAAATGAATAAATGTAAATGTCTCAAACTTACTAAATATTGTCCTTCTTATCTAAATATTTAATATTTAAATTATAAAAAATAAATAAGTAAAAATCATGTAAATAAATACATTTACTTCACAAGGGTAGTAAAACTAAATAATGTCCTTCTAAATAATTAATCATATAAAAAAGACTATCCCAGACTAAAATGCATGTTTGAGCTGTTTTAAATGAAAGCAACATGCACTGACATATTTTAAAACATGCAAGTGCCATTGTTTTATCCCAAGATGCACACCGGTATTGTTTTTTTCTTAGGCAAGTTTTTAAAAGCTACTTAAATTTCCTAATTAAACTAAGGCCTAATCCTGGCTTATTATAAGCCCTGTCTGTGAAACTAAGCCTTTAATACATACATAAAAGATAAATAAATAAATCTATGAATTTAAGTATAGTTCACAAAAATAACCTGCTTTTTAGAAACTATACATCTAATAGGTTTGGATCTCAACTTTATCCAATACTGTATGCTTCTAACATACAATATAAAGCCACATTGAGCTCTTTCTTGTTTCACTGATCACACAGGGTTTCTCTTTCGCTCTTTGACATGTCGTTTGTATCAAACCATCAAGACAGCCAAAATATCGATTTGGCCCTTTGTAACTCTCAATTTGTTACTCTGCAGGACTTTCTCTTCCTCCTGTTCCTCTGAGCAGGTGTGAACAGACGTCCTCAAGTCATCACTATAGCCACAGGTTCTCTTATTGTTATACTCACTTTACATCATCCATCTATCCACATTTCATCCCTCTGTAGATCAACTGGTAAGGGCGGGTGCATGAATGGGTCAAAATTTTTATTTTAAAATTCACAGTAAAAAATGGATTAAGGTTTAAATGGATGAGGAAGTGGACAATGATATGGATTTCTCGAGAGAAACCATCATCTCATCCAATTAGAGGAAACACAATCGGAATCTGACACCAACAGACGGTTTTCTGGCCATAAGGCTTTCAAATGTAGTTCAGTCTGTCGCTTATTGAGTCCAAATAAACCCAGATCCCAGAGACAGCAGTAAAGAGTTGGCGCCGCCAGGCTTAAAAAAAAACAAAAAAAAAAAACGGCTTGGATGAGGAGAAACAGTCACATGGAAGCAGATGGTTGCTAACACGTCAGAAAGCCCTGACATGAAGTTTTCATGAGCCCACAGAAACTATCAAAAACTTCAGTGCCACAAAAAAAACATCCATCTGGAGAAAGAGAGACAAAACAAAAGGGAGAGAGTGCCTGGAGAGAGATGGATTGGGTCTGGGGTCTACAATACATAATGACTCCTAAATCAGATTGTGCAGGACCATTTGATTCATTCTAGCTCTTCCCAGCATTCATTAGCAACTATTGATAAAATGTGCTTCAGCTCTAGGGAAATAAAGTCATCTGGGAAGGCCAAGAGAACAGATGAAGCAGAAGTAATTCCACTCTATATTAATAAACCATTATGTGGAGACATGCAGTTGTGCATGTCTCTACTGTTTAAGCCCAGAAACACTATGTTTGTCCAATGCATTTGTTGTCCTGTTGTACATACAATTCATCCAAAACAATGAAACTTGTCGCAATTTTCTTACTATCGGTTGGGCTAGTCTCAGCCTCAGACGTCACGCCAACAAACCGTTGGCTGAACGTCTGGTACACATGGCACACAAAATTGGAAACACTGTTTCGAAGTCATCATGTGGTTGAATTCTACAGGATTTCCGGGAAACATGCGTCACGTTCTTTAACGGTCTGCCTGGAAACAATGCTGTCATGAAGCCAAACCTCCTCATGAAAGAAGCAGGCCGTTGTGTTTACATGTACTTACACAAGTCTATTATTGTAGGGACAACGGAGTTACATTTTCACACCCCTAAACATGACGAGGAACAAAACGAACTGTGATTGGTTGCTTTCATGTCAGTCAGATGGCATCTGGGCAGTCCTTGGCCAATGAAAGCTGCTATGGAGTCAGTCTGAAGGTCTGGCTATGCGACACTATAGGCTCAAGTAGCCCTTTACGAACACTAAACCAGAGATATTGAATCTAATTATGTCCTTTATTATTATCATTAAATCATTTTTAAAAATTGCATAAAAACTACAAGCAGTAAAAGTTCTGCTACAAGTCAACACAAATATACCAAAACAATTCTCATCCTAAAAAAGGAACTAAAAAAATTACAATTACTTATTAGTTATCCAATTTTTCTTCTATTTTATAGGTTTAATAAAGCTAAAAATCTAAATTCCCTGCTTAGGAATCACTACATTACACTACAGCCTGTTTGCACATTTCAGGCCTAAAAGGCCACAGTAGGAAAGCTTCTCTAAGAAAGCAATCCCTCTGAAATGCCAATTTGACTCTACTAGATGCGTGTGGCACATAAACAAGGAGCTATAAAAACAGATGCAGTGAACATACTGAGCTGGAATCTCATGTCTTATGTCATTCATGAACTCTGTGAGTCAGATGGTGATTCAACAAGATGAAAGTGAGATACACATTGGAACAGATTCACTCAAAATTCTGCTGTTTCCTCAAGATTGGGCTTCTGTACTTCAGAAATCATCTGGCAAATCAGACCTGACGGAACATTGTGTAAACACTTCCCACAGCTCAGAGTTTTCCTCATGATCCCACTAAACTACAGGTGAGCTGATGAAGAGAACAGAGATCAGGATAAAACCTGGCCTTGTTCTCACTGCATATGTGAGAGAGAGGTTACGCCTACATTGTGGAGACCAAAGAAGAAAAGGTAATAAAACACCAGTTAACAGTCCCCATGAGGAGAATGTCTTAATGAACATACTAAATAATGTCCTAATGAAAATCTAAACATGAGTGAGGGTTGTTTAGGGACAAAGGAAGAAATTATCATTTGCTCAGTATTAGGGTCAAAAAAGAAGAAAAAGGAATACAATTCTTTTTTTCTTTTTTTTTTAAATCATTGTTTTCAAAGGTTTTAGAAATGCAGTCTTTGTATTCATAGTGTTTCATATGGTTTTGAAAAAACAATGTTTACATGTGAATAAATGCTTAAATTACATTTGCTCAGTGTATAAAGCGATCGTGTCTCTTAAGAAAATGTATGATCTCTACATTACCTTTTTGAAGTGTCAAAGTGTCAGTTGCGTAGCTGTCAACGGAGGGACAGAAAGCGCTCAGATTTCATTAAAAATATCTTAATTTGTATTCCAAAGATGAACGAAAGTCTTACGGGTTTGGAACAACATGAGGGTGAGTAAAATGATGACAGAACTTTCATTTTTGGGTGAACTAACACAACATATTTCTAAAAATATCACATAAAAACATTTTACTTGCAATTATGCACATAATTAATCAATTCTTTTAATTAGGCTTTTTTCTTTACTATGGTATCAGGACAGTTGTATAACTGACATGTTTTACTTTACGTATATAAGACCAGTAACATGCATTAAGAAAACAAATAAATTAATAGATCCGGAATAAAGAGCCTTGCGTCATTGATCCATAAAACCAATAGATCCATTGAGAGAGATCAGATAGCTATCAGCAGGAGTAAACAAAGTGTGTGTGTGTGTGTGTGTGTGTGTTTTTACAGCAACCCATAAATCTTTCAACCACCATAAACCCAGTCCATGATAGCAACCGACCATACTTAATCACACACATGCACACACAGCAATACTCGCACATCCAAACACGTGTGCAGAGTGCAGACATACACACACACACACACACACAAAGAAAATCTCCAGATTTAACTGCAGCCACACACACTAAGAGAATCTCCAGATTTAACTGCAGCCAAGAGCAACATCTCAGCCTCTCTTTCTCTCTGTTGTTCTCAATCTCGTTCGCTCCCTGTAGGACATTTGCACTGTAATCAGAGACTTTGCAGTCCTGCAGTATGGGGTACTGTCTCCATGTGGTATGTTGCATCCGGCGGTTCTAAGCCATTAAACACAGAGAGGAGCATGTGAGTTGGATTTTGAAGTATCAATAGTGTGTGTGAGTGTGTTGAGGCTATGCTGAGCTGTTAGAAAAAGTTATGCGTGTGCGCGCTCTGTCAGGTTCAGAGGAGCTGAGCTCTGTTGCTCCGTGTGGGATTGAAGCCAGACGGGGTCTTACAGCAGGTCCTGCTAAAGTCTCCAGCATACATCTGTTTCCTTACAGCTCTCATTTATCACACTCTAAACTCCATCACCTTCAACACCACTCAGAGACACACACTAGTTCTTAACCTTTCCGGCTCGCAGAGCTTCAGCAGATGTCTGCATCGCAGATCTGCTGATACACTCAAAACATCCACAATTACACAGGATACAGAAGATAGAGTCACTCTCTCCATGCGACGGTGAGTGACAATTATTTATCCGCTGGGTTAAGAAAAATAACTGAAAACTGCTTGTATTATGAAGCGAAGCAGATAAATACAAAAAAATACCATGGTGAATATAGTTTGTAAAGTTATTACAGTTAGTTGTTTTTACCACTGTAAAATAATGATAAATTAATTAACTCCTTAAAAAAAGCTTTCAGAACCTTTCGGTCATTATGTTAAATATATTTTTTTATCATTATCATTACATATAAGTCAGTAAGATTTTTGTGAAGAATTTAATACTTTTATTCAACAAAGACGCATTAAATTGATCAAAAGTAACAGTAAAAACAATAAATGTTACAATATTTCTATTTCAAGTAGATGCTGTTATTCTATTCATCAATCAATCCTGTAAAATATTAAGCAGCACAACTGTTTTAACATTAATAAAAATGTTTCTTGTGTTACAAATTAGCATATTATGATTTCTGAAGGATCATGTGACATTGAAGACTGGAATAATGATACTGAATATTCAGCTTTGCCATCACATGAATAGATTACATTTTAAAATATATTAAAATAAAAAACTTTTATATAATACAAATATTTGATCAAATAGTTATTGTAGAAAAAATACAACAATAGTTTATCACAATCATTAAATCATTTTACAGTAGATATTCCTGTGTGTGTGAGATATGAATGTTCCTTTAATGATTATCATATTGATATACTATATATTACTATGTATATATCCCATGGTATTTACATGAAACAAGGGCATGGTACATCCATAGTCCTTTCATGTACTATGGATTTATTAAAGTAAGCAAATAGAAGGCAATAATTAGTAGGGGTGTCACGATTCTCCAAATCCTCGATTCGATTAAGTTTTCGATTCTAAGGTCACAATTCGCCTTTGGCTAAGCCCCGCCCCCCTTAGTTACTGTTGCTACGTCCGACAAACAAACTTCATCTGGGCTCTGGTATCAACATGGCTTATGCTGTGACAGCTCTTCCTGCTGAAATTTTATCAAACTTTTATAAAGCAGCAAATAAAGTGTCCGATAGAAGTAGGCAAAAGCTGCTGCAATATACGCTCGAAGGCTATATTCACGACATACAGGTGAAACGCAAGGAACAACAAGGCATCCAAACAGAGGCAAAAGCATACGGTCACAGTCAACAAATGACCCACCGCATATCCTACTAATGGAGATGGAGGCTGGGACTCACAATATCAAGGAGCAACACTGTTCATGCAAAGCTGGAGGTCTCTATTCACTTCTATAATCGTTATTACAAAGCAAACGGACTACGCGAGTATAACGTTGTATTTATTAGCAGTGTGTGCTAGACGACACTTGTCAGGATTTGACTTCGGTTTGGGAAGGGAAAAAAACGGACACACCCCTCCAACCTCTCTGAGAAACGCATATCTGTGTTACAAATGCCCCAGGCACAACGTTTAACCATATTTTTGATAAAACTACGACGGTAATAGCCGGCCGAGACCAAAAATATGAGACGCCTGTGTTAAAGTCAATGGAGCGCTGTGAAAAAGTGTCGGACCTCTGTGGGAGCTCGTTCTTGGCTGTGCTGTGATTGGTCAATCTACATTCTAGGGTGTGGCTTAGCCAAAGGCAAATTCGATTCGATTCTCGATAAAAAAAAAAAAAAAAAAATTTAAGCGCAGATTGCTATGCAATTTTTAGACTACACGTTTATGCATTATGCAATATAAATTTGTTCACAATGCACACTACACCATTGCCAAATTTAAAATATAACAAAAACAAGTAACATCATAAATGTAACAATAACTTTATTAAGGCTTCTATTGGGGTTTTAGAATGAAGCTTTGAATGTCTTTCTCCGTATTTTTATGGTACACGCACATAGCAGAGCTTGCAAACTGTGGCTTTTTTGTCGACAACGCGAACGTTGTCAACATACCGCACTGCAAATCCAAAATACCTCCACACCGGCGACTTCAGAGAAGCAGGAGGGTGTTCAAGTTCCGTTGATGGGTCTTCGATATCTGCAGTTGCCATGATGTGTCAGTTAGAGGAATCGCAGCCTTTCAACAGGTGTTTTGTTTTCCGCACCGTGATGAGTCATTCATCATAAACGATCTGTTCACGGGTCTGTTCATTGCCTCTGTCACGCGACAAATGAACAAAAGACTCGGAAGGTAAAGTAATTATTTGTTCCCTGTAGTGTAAATTATTTTTCACTGCATTCATTATGTACATCTTCTTAATGTTCGGGGAATTTGCATGTTAATAGTATAACATTTAAAGCCCCTGAAATGACTAGAAAAAAAGTTTAGTTAATTTTGATGAACGAGATTGAACAATAGAGTCTGTAAAACGATCCGAACTTTCCATCACGGACGCGACATGGGGCGTGGCAGTATCGACGATACCATTTTTTATTTCGATTTCGATACCATTGAATTAATTTCGATCGATTTCGATTTAATATCGAAATCGTGACACCCTTAATAATTAGTAGTAAAACACACATTTTACTAAGTATAAAAAATGTACTGTAAAAAAAAGAAAGACAAAAAGTCTGCTGTTTCCAGACTGGTGTTGCCTAGGAGACCATTCAAGACTATTCAAGTTGAAATGCTGTATACCTTCATCAAGCATTCTAGCTTTTAGAGTAAAATTCAATCGTTTGGGAGGAAGCCTGCATGTATGAGCCTGTTCTACATCGTCTCACGAGACGTCAGAGCGCTCAACTCCATCAGAGAAGCCCAACACTCAATCCCATACGTTAGAGATAAGATGTTTGTGACATTAAACAGAAAGCATGAATCTTATTACGCTCCTGTAATATGCTTCTAGATGGTGTAAGTGAGTCTTAAACAAACCTGTTCCAATCGTATCACGGCTTAAATCAATTAAAGCAACTGTAGCGCAGCTCTGACCCCTGCTGTTTCACAGATGTACTGCAGATGACAGTTAAACCACCTCAAAATCATTCCAGCTATAGGACACAGAGCCTTAGAAGTCAAAGGTCAGAGCTTTTGAAGTTTGACAGATAACATATGTGTGTATATTTACCTCCACATTCCAGTGAAGCTGTACATGATGCTGACACACCGTGGTAACGTGGGTGGCTCCAGTCCGTCCAACCTGACGAGCAGAGACACCGCTCCAAATAAGACCAGATACTTTACGTAAAAAAATTGCACTAACGCGAGAGCCAAACCACCTGCAGGTGAAAAAGAGAGCGGTTACATGACATAAAACAGTAAAGCGGCTATGTGCTTGATCTCACACAGACATGTGCCCTTTAAACATCTGAACTGACAGGGTTCTTCAGCCACATCAGGTGCCTACATACAGTACTTATGGCCATGCAAAGTTTTTGAAGCTCATTTCGGCCCTTCATCCTATTCTGGCTGAGAAGAACCACAGATTTAATGATTTTAATCAGATTTCAGTTTTATTCTGAACCGTTTCATAATTTAGTTCTATCATCCTTTCTAGGCATATCTCCCTATTCACTTTTCAGTCACTGTGTGTGTCAGTGGAAACTGAGTACAGCATCTGTCTTTTCCCATATCCCACTGCTACAGAGCTAAAAGCTTGTAAAAAAAAAAAAAAAAAAAAAATAGGACAGAATTTCTGCAAGCACTTTCTGTACAAAACAGGTACAAAAAGGCGATAATGACTCGATGTTCCAGTGTGCTGCTGCACAGACCGCTCTCTCTTGCAGAGTCTGTGTTTATGAATCAAAGTTCAGGCAGCACAAATCAGCAACTTTTACAGATCAATAGACAGCAAGTGCAAAATCAAGATGCTGCAATGGAGAGCGCACACACAAGGCTGAAACTCAGTGTGTGTGTGTGTGTGTTTCATTGCGAACATCTGTGCACGATAATAATATAATAAACACTTTAAGACCCAAAATAACACCATATACAATGACAGACTGCATCAATTCTGAAAAACATAATTTGGATAAAAACTGTAGAATTTTCTTAAAAACTATGCATATTTCCCCACTACACACTATGCAAACAGCAGTATGTCGCAAAAGTATGATGTCAGAAAACTAATAAATATCATAGGCTCACAATAATTTGCAGATGACGTACTGCATGAGATTTTGGACACTTTGTTGTTATCCTACACTCACCTAAAGGATTATTAGGAACACCTGTTCAATTTCTCATTAATGCAATTATCTAATCAACCAATCACATGGCAGTTGCTTCAATGCATTTAAGGGTGTGGTCCTGGTCAAGACAATCTCCTGAACTCCAAACTGAATGTCAGAATGGGAAAGAAAGGTGATTTAAGCAATTTTGAGCGTGGCATGGTTGTTGGTGCCAGACGGGCCGGTCTGAGTATTTCACAATCTGCTCAGTTACTGGGATTTTCACGCACAACCATTTCTATGGTTTACAAAGAATGGTGTGAAAGGGGAAAAACATCCAGTATGCGGCAGTCCTGTGGGCGAAAATGCCTTGTTGATGCTAGAGGTCAGAGGAGAATGGGCCGACTGATTCAAGCTGATAGAAGAGCAACTTTGACTGAAATAACCACTCGTTACAACCGAGGTATGCAGCAAAGCATTTGTGAAGCCACAACACGCACAACCTTGAGGCGGATGGGCTACAACAGCAGAAGACCCCACCGGGTACCACTCATCTCCACTACAAATAGGAAAAAGAGGCTACAATTTGCAAGAGCTCACCAAAATTGGACAGTTGAAGACTGGAAAAATGTTGCCTGGTCTGATGAGTCTTGATTTCTGTTGAGACATTTAGATGGTAGAGTCAGAATTTGGCGTAAACAGAATGAGAACATGGATCCATCATGCCTTGTTACCACTGTGCAGGCTGGTGGTGGTGGTCTAATGGTGTGGGGGATGTTTTCTTGGCACACTTTAGTTGGCATTGTTTAAATGCCACGGCCTACCTGAGCATTGTTTCTGATCATGTCCATCCCTTTATGGCCACCATGTACCCATCCTCTGATGGCTACTTCCAGCAGGATAATGCACCATGTCACAAAGCTCGAATCATTTCAAAGTGGTTTCTTGAACATGACAATAAGTTTACTGTACTAAAATGGCCCCCACAGTCACCAGATCTCAACCCAATAGAGCATCTTTGGGATGTGGTGGAACGGGAGCTTCGTGCCCTGGATGTGCATCCCACAAATCTCCATCAACTGCAAGATGCTATCCTATCAATATGGGCCAATATTTCTAAAGAATGCTTTCAGCACCTTGTTGAATCAATGCCACGTAGAATTAAGGCAGTTCTGAAGGCGAAAGGGGGTCAAACACAGTATTAGTATGGTGCTCCTAATAATCCTTTAGGTGAGTGTATAAGACAGGAGTATCAAAACTGTCCTGTAGAGTTTGGCTCCAACTTGCTTCAACACACCTGCCTGGACGTTTCTAGTATGCTTAGTGGGACCTTGATAAGAAGGTTCAGGTGTGTTTAATTGGGGTAGGAGCTAATCTTTGCAGGACAGTGGCCCTCCGGGAGCAGGTTTGGACACTCCTGCTATAAGACAATAGGTGTCAAGGAGCCGTCAAATTTGAAAAGGGTTGCTATTTTCAAATGTAAGATCTGCAGGTACCAAGAAACTTGTTCCTCAGGCATACACAACCAGTCAAACATTTTATGTCAGTAAGATTTTTTATTTTTCAAAGAAATTCTTTTATTCTGCAAGGACACAGTAAATTGGTCAAAAGTGACATTGAAATTGTTAAAATTAGTTCTATTTCAAATAAATGCTTTAGAACTTTCTACCCCCCCCAAAAAATCCACAAAAATATTAGGTAGCACAACTGTTTTCAACACTGATAATAACAAGAAATATTTCTTGAGCAGCAAATAAGCATGAAGCAAGAATGATTTTTGAAGAATCATGTGAAACTGAGGACTGGAGTAAAAGCTGATAAACATTCAGCTTTGCCATCACTGCAAAAATTAGCATTTTAAAATAGAGAACGGTCATTTTAAATCGTAATAATATTTCACAAAATCAGTGTTTTTACTGTAATTTTTGAACAAATAAAAATAACCTTGGTGAGGATAAGACTTATTTTGTCAAAAACATTCAAAGATCTTACCAATCCAGAACTTTTGAATGGAAATGTACTTATTTAACAGAGAAGACTGTGTTTGGTTGCTGATAGCATATCTTCAAACTTCAAAAGGAAAATGCCAATACTGTGAATGAAGCATATCTGTAGAATAGCGAAGTGTGTATTACACTACACACTTGCATCCCTAAAGATGGCTAAGACGTTCTTCATTGAATTCAGTATATACTATGAAAGTACAAGAATTCATACACAGCCACAGACTTACCCAACGCCCAGTGCGGCAGCATCTCCAGGTAGGTTTCGTTGCTCTGGATGGCGTGCATGTACATGAAGTGGATCATGAATTCTGCTAAACACCACCAGACAAACACGCGCAGTATTCCGCTTAAGACATACACCAAAGACACTTTACACACCGGTCTTTCTATCTGCAGAGAAAGAGAATGACATTTACAATACATTTGGATAAAGAACAGACCCTGCACCCTTTTATGAACCTCATTTTCTTCTACCTGTTCGCTGAAGTCTCTGTAGGTCATGATGGGTCCGTTGTAGAACAGAGGATGATAGAAGCAGTAGGCAGTGAGTTTGTAGAACTGAGGAATTAGAGTCTTTAGTCCTTTATCCTGTAGAGAGGAGCAGTGCCAGCACAGCTCCAGACTAAAGCTAATGCAGCGCAAACTACAAACAGCAGTACTGAAGAGCAAGAGGTAGTACTGGTCCTCAGAAGAACACCAGCCACGCTAGAGACAGATTAAAAAAAAGAGTGGAAAAAACATTTAAATGAACCAAACTAAACAACAGGAAGCTAAAAAAATCAGTGGCTACAAGACAATAAATGAAATGTGCAACACAAGACAATGAACAGGCCCTGAAATAAAAGTATTATTAGTAAGCTGGTGCTATTGGATGCAAGTGGCTCTGGAAGCAGCCGGAAGACTATACCTGCATCTGAATTCGCCTCCTTCCCTACTACATCGTAAGTAAAAAATTGTTTATGAAGTGAGGAGTATGATCAAATTCATTGCATTCATAACAAATACCTGGAGAGATTCTGAATTGCAAATCCAGTGGATACTTTACTATTCCACAAGCCCACATGGAGGGGTTTTGAAGACAGTGAAGCGACACAATTGACGACGAAGGTCACATGACAAAGCCAACATGGGGGATGTAGCATGTCCGGATTTCATTTATACTACACAATCTTGTCAGAACTGGTAAAGCAGGACCACAATCTACAAAATTCATAGCAAAAGAAAATGACAGACTGAAAAAAGATCGATCCCATTCGCCCAGTAACTTCTCGTCACCCTCGACTAACTCTGCCAAAGCCCCAAAAATAAAATCTAGTTTATTGAGGATCACAACTTATTTTATGGCCTCTGTGAGCTTCTGCGTGTTTGAAAAAAGTTATTATTTTTCCAATTCCGTTTAGTTCCACCGGTGAGACAGAAAGGACACACTTCACTTGTAAAACTGCTGCACTGAAGAAATATAGCACAGCCGTACAGTTTGTTAGGTTTGAAATTATAAAACAATAGATATATTCTTTAAAATGAAGACAAAAAAAGTAGCCTTGTTAGACTGGTTATCCAATGTTAAGGGAACATTTCCAGTAAATTTGATGAACTACACATATGGTTGCTCTGATAGTCAAACATTTACTAAAAATCATCTTGGAACCATTTACAACTAAGTTTGATATGTTGTATCCAATGCAATGTCATTCAGACACTTTTAAGCTCTATGTAGGGTGGCCATGGCCAAACGTGTCCAAAATGTCCTTTGTATGTCATTTACCCATCATTTACTCACCCTCATCCCGTTCTAAACCTGTAAGACTTTTTTCTGTGCAAAATAGAAGATATTTTGAAGAATGCTGGTAACCAAACAGTTTCGGTTCCCAGTTGTATTTTTGGTCCATACAATAAACCAAAACGGTTGAGTTACCAACATTCTTCAAAATATCTTCTTTTGTGTTCCACATAAGAAAGTAAGTCAAATCGGTTTAAAACGACATAAGAGTGAGTAAATGATAGCAGACTTTTCATTTTTGGGTGGACCATCACTTTAACACTATACTCAGTCGCTGTAATACAGAATTTTCATTTGTGGGTGGACTATCCTTTAAGTAGGCTTCTATGTACTGTAAGTGATGAACAACCGCTGTAAACCACAGCTCCATCTTTCTAAATTACTCCACCTCAGGCCAGCATCCACTGATCCTCTGTGTTGAAAATAAACTATCTACTGGGCATACTCAGAAGACAGCTGGCATCTAGCCAGCCGACACAGCAGCAGTCACTTTCAAAAACTCATTATCGCCACTCAAAAATAAAGCTATAACCACCTCTAAATTACACTAAATGACAGGGCAGCGTTCTGAAATTAGTCACTGGCTGATGCTGTTTTTCTTTGTATGTCATTATGGCAGTCTCTGTGGTATAGCTGCATGGGTATTGCTGTCTTCCTGAAGGTTTTTCACAGCTCATAAGTAACTGAGTTAAACAGAGATATACAGAACAAAAAATATATAATTAAAAGAGAATGAAGATCACAATAGATTAAATTACAGTTGCTTGTTCTTCAGATGGGTATGCTAATAGATGCTGCTGAGTAATAAATAATAATTAGATGAAGGTTTAATTAAGAAGGGGTGTCACAATTAATCAAGGAGAAACTCAAGGAAAGTAGGGAACTCGTTTGTCACTCAGATCAATATTCCCTCTGTCTCTTTTGTCCCCTCTATCTGCACGAGCTTGTTGATCTCGTTGCTTTCACCTTCAGTCAGTTATTTAATGACAGCTGTCAATCAATCATTCACTGTGTCAAGTGACAAAGCAGATAAAGAAAACAAACAAAAACAGGACCTTCTGGAAGCCAGCTGACTCTTTTGGTTGTACTGTTGTAACGTCTATTGTGTGAGAAAAAAGGAAATACACAAGCACTGTTGTGCAGGTAAACGTTTGACTTTGAATATTTGCTTGAGAGACTGTTTGAAAGTGTATGCATCACTGTGTTTGTGTGAAGAGAATGGTGACATTTAATGCGGACTTGTTTCAGTCTCATCCTCATTCTCTCTGCGGAGCTCTGCAGATGTGCTCTGAGAGCCCAGGAGACAGCATAGACTGATCCTGAACCGGACAAATCCCTCACTCTGTCCATCACACCTCCTCCTCATCAATACAGAAAGCTTTAAAGGGACACAGGTAGTTCATCCAAAATTAATAATCATCATCATAGAACACAAAAGGAGAAATTTTGAAGACTGTGCTGGTCACACCTTTCCATGCAATTCCAATGAATGGGGACTTAAGGTTTTTTTTTCCATGTTCGAAAAAAGGGAATATAAAGCAGTCATATGGAGCGCTGTTACGGTGCTTTTATGTCAAGTCTTCTGTGATAGTCATGCAAAAGATTTGCATGAGAAACCGACCAAAATTGAAGTTATTCACTGATAATCTTCACCTCTGGGAAGCTTTTAACTTAAAGGTATTGTAGGTAGGAATTTTATTTAAAAAAAAACTTTTTTCCAAATTTGTTTAAACTTGCTGTGTATATCAATGCATAATTAAAATGTAAATACTCTGAAAAAGAAAGTATAAAAATCGAGTGTCTGTAGACCTCTCATGACTGTTTTAAAGCTCATTATTTCCATTCACTCCACCCCCTCCCTTCTGGGCTCCTTCCAAAGCCACGCCCCAAAAACACATGAACGCACGACTCCGACCGCTGAGCTGAAGACGCATTATTTACCTGAGACGAGCGGAGAGGAAGGAGTGCAGTGCATGTAGTGACATCATGTCAGAATCACATGTAATAAAAAAATCTAACTTTATCATTATGAAGATAAACAAATAAGATGTATTTTAGTACTCACTATCAAGCTAGCATATTGATATTGGTAAAGTTTAAAATATATATTTATTGATTCGCTAACGAGCTAGTTATCAATAAGGCAAAGCTAAAAACAGGTTGCATGATACACGGTTTTCCATTGCCATCATTTACACTGTGATGAAGATGAATTTCGTGTAACATTCATAACATATATGGTGTTCTGCATGTAAGAGTGTCCATGATGAAAGCATTGTTGACTCTGATGAGGACTACACTCCAGAGACAAGTGCCGCATCGTCAGCTCGAGGACAGATCCGGGGTCGAGGGCGAAGCAGAGGAGGTCGTCCCAAGGCGTCACTTTTCAGCCCCTTGAGCTCTCTAAGTTCTCGCCATCGCTGGAAAGCCACGCCGATATTGACACATGTTTTATTTCGTTGTTTATCCAAATACTTTTTGTTCATTACCTTTTCTAGTAACGTTACTGTCTTCCTTTTTTAGCCTGGTTTGCCTTCGCGAACTGCATATGTGAATTTTGATTGGTCTTTCTCTGCCATTGTTTTGCTATGCCTAGGTTCCGTGCCTCTTGAATTCCTCAAATCAAACGGATACGCGCAAGTGGGCAGGTCATGTGTGGCAAAAGGTTGGTTGCCATGGTTGCGAGAGAGTGACAGTCGCCTAAGCCAATCCTTTGTTTCGTCCCGGATGGAAATAATGAGCTGTGTTTAGTGCAGATTAAACGGTCTAGAGTCACTCGATTTTTATACTCTTTTTATCAGAGTACTTACATTTTAATTATGCATTGATATATACAGAAAGTTTAAACAAATTTGGGAAAAAGTTTTTTTTATAAAATTCCTACCTACAATACCTTTAAGTGAGTTGAACAGAACAGTTTGATTTGTGCATGAACCATTCAGATTGGTTTTCGGAACTGAATCAACCGGTGTTGTTATTGTTAACTAAAAGAAAAACTATTAAAATAATTTTCGTTATTTGAAATAAAGGTGAAATTAAATATTAAATAGAATATAAATATTAGATGAAAAACTTAAATTGAAAGAAAAAGTCAGCAAAATTAAGTTGCTTTGGCAACTAACTGAAATAAGTTTAAGAAATACTAAAAATACTGAGACTAAAACTGAAATAAAAGTAATTTAAAGCTAAATAGAAATCAGAAAACAATATAAATGACAAAAGAACAACAAAATTACTAAAACAAACTAATTCAAATTATTAATAAATACTATAATAGTATAAAAAGTAATACTAAAATAACACTGGAATCAACCAACTGAAAAGATTTGACTTAAAAGAACAATTCGTTCAAGCATTGCTACTTCCCTCATGATTTTGGAGTATGGCGAACGATTTTATGATTTTGCACTATTACAATACTTTTAAGGTGGTTTTGCATCCTTTTTGAAGCATGAAAGATCTCGCCATCGTTCATGATAATTGCATGGAAACCAGCAACCAGCACATCATTCACATTTCTCATCATTTTGTGTTCTAAGAGGGGGAAAAAAGAAAGCTATATGGACTTGGAACAACATGAAAGTGAGTAAAATGAGGACATTTTTGGGTTAGCACATCATGTCATTTTTGGGTGAACAACCCTTTAAATTTGACACTTTTATGCAGCTTCTCCTCAGAGGAGCGGCAACTTTGATGCCTCACGTACATGGATTACAGCAATTACAGGCGCACAGAGATTCACACACCTGTAAATCCTGGAGGGCACTGACATTTAGTGTGGAGAGCAGTAGGAGGGAGCAAAACCACGATAGGGCGGGGCTACGTAGCTGAGCAACCACCAATGAGATGCTCAGATGCAGCATCAAAAGAGTCACGCCCCACACACCGAGAAGCCAACCAGCAGAAAGCAAGCCATACACTGCAAAGACTGCCAGTCGGAACTGTAACACAAGTGCACAAGGAAAGATGATGAAACATGCAAACATTTGATGACTTGCTCAAATTCATCTTCTCTGCATCAAAATGACCTGAGGCAGATAACAGGCTGCCAGTCTGGACACCACAGCGTGGCCAATCAGAGACCACAGAAGAGACCGCCATGCCCACTCATTCCAAAAACTCCATTCAAAATCAGTAGGGTCCTAAAAACACAAAACACACACACGGTTTTGTTTGTCTGTATAAAAGGAACTTGTTGATTGAGCAGGAAACAGAAAATTAGCCTTGGTGGGGTGCATTAGCCAAATGTGCCATCCTGATAAAAGTCAACATAATCACCATGTTCTCTCACCTTCTTGAATCCCCATATAAGGAATCCTCTCTGCAGCTGCACCTCTCTGTCCAGACTGACCTCATGCTCTGTCAATCACACACAGTAGAACACATTTCTCATACACTATTCTGGAGGAATACAAAGTCTGTACACAGGACTATTTTGGTCAACTAGAATCAGAATTCAGCTTTACTGGCCAAGTTAGCTTACACCCGACGGGACCCAAATGTTTACAGAGTTTTACTTTGATTTTCAATACTTTGCATTTTAAAATAAACTTCTAAATGTCTGTTCAGTAGAACCTATGTAACAGACAACACAATTTAGTAATTGTGGTGCTTCTAATTAAGTGATAAAAAGCAAGTTGCACATTTTGTACAAAATACACTCATCTTTGCACCAATAAAATGTGCACCACTTTATGTTTTACTATCTGTTTTCACAGACAGGGCTTAGATTAAGCCAGGATTAGGCCTTAGTTCAATTAGGACATTTAAGTAGCTTTTATAAACATGCCTTTGAAAAAACATTACTGGTGTGCATCTTGAGACAAAAAACTGATATATTTTAACTAAGATATGTCAGTGCAAGTGGCTTTCAGTTAAGACGGTTTAAACATGCATTTTAGTCTGGGACTAGGCTTAAGCCTTGTCTGTGAAACAGGGGGCATATGCAATATCTAATTCATTTAACTTACAGTAGAATGTCTATAAAGTGGTATTCGAGATAGTAATTTAAGGGCACAGAGCTTTGTCATTTTTAAGACCTGGGACAGTCTTGCGCACTTCCAGTTGCGTTAACATGCTCGCAAGTGTGGGTATTTGGACAGGCCCTATAAAAAATTGAGACAGTGGTTGGCTGGCTCTGTATTGTCCACAACAATATTCGAAGAAGACCCCATAACTTTTCCCGTTGTTCATGATTTGATGGATTAGGATTAAGGATAATAATGTATTACTATTATTTTACTCAGTTTCTACTCCACTAATATTTAAGCTTGGCATTACTAGAAAAATTTATATTCATTATTAAAATACCTAAAATGACGGCCCCCTGGTTGAGAACCACTGATCTAAGATATTTAACATCCACTTAATTCTTTAATTTGATTATACGGACACTATAGGATGGAGGTTTGAATGCACTTCTCTTGTTCACCCAAAAATCTCTGATCATTTACTCACCCTCATGTGTCATGTCATTCTAAACCTGTATGGTTTTCATTTTTTTCTGAACATTTAGCAGAACTTTCACTATTACAATGAAAGTAAACTTGGCAGCCCTATCCACTTCCATTTCATGGATAAGAGCCCCATGGATAAGTTTTGTTGATGAATATTGAATATTCCCTGCACACATGCATTAACTCTCTTCTTTCTCCCCTGCAATGCAGTGTCAGTTTGGTATTGTTTTCCCCACCCCTCCCCTCTCTGTCCATCCCTCTCTCCCATCATCTCTTTATTCATCCAGTTTCTTAGAATGGACCTCTAGTCACCTCGACAGACGGTTTTCCTGCAGGGTGCAATGGCAGGCAAGGATCTATTCACACTGTCATAAACACACACACTTTCCAGAAAAGAAAGTGTACATAGAAACAGAAGTGAGAGCACATTGCCATCTGGTGGTCGCACTGTGTTGAGACACAAAGACTGCAGAAAGAAGTATCATGGGTATGTATGTTTGCTGTGATACAGATCTTAAGTGACACTGATCTGGAGTTATATTTTGTATAGAAACCCACTTCAGAAACAATGTGATTAATAGAGCCTAAAGTGTCTTTAAGATGAAGAAATTAAACCTGGCCAAACCATAAGACACAACATGCAATATTATATCAATATATATATATATACACTCACCGGCCACTTTATTAGGTACACCTGTCCAACTGCTCGTTAACACTTAATTTCTAAGCAGCCAATCACATGGCGGCAACTCAGTGCATTTAGGCATGTAGACATGGTCAAGACAATCTCCTGCAGTTCAAACCGAGCATCAGTATGGGGAAGAAAGTTGATTTGAGTGACTTTGAACGTGGCATGATTGTTGGTGCCAGAAGGGCTGGTCTGAGTATTTCAGAAACTGCTAATCTACTGGGATTTTCACGCACAACCATCTCTAGGGTTTACAGAGAATGGTCCGAAAAAGAAAAAACATCCAGTGAGCGGCAGTTCTGTGGGCGGAAATGCCTTGTTGATGCCAGAGGTCAGAGGAGAATGGCCAGACTGGTTCGAGCTGATAGAAGGGCAACAGTGACTGAAATAACCACTCGTTACAACCGAGGTATGCAGCAAAGCATTTGTGAAGCCACAACACGCACAACCTTGAGGCGGATGGGCTACAACAGCAGAAGACTCCACCGGGTACCACTCATCTCCACTACAAATAGGAAAAAGAGGCTACAATTTGCAAGAGCTCACCAAAATTGAACAGTTGAAGACTGGAAAAATGTTGCCTGGTCTGATGAGTCTCGATTTCTGTTGAGACATTCAGATGTTAGAGTCAGAATTTGGCGTAAACAGAATGAGAACATGGAACCATCATGCCTTGTTACCACTGTGCAGGCTGGTGGTGGTGGTGTAATGGTGTGGGGGATGTTTTCCTGGCACACTTTAGGCCCCTTAGTGCCAATTGGGCATCGTTTAAATGCCACGGCCTACCTGAGCATTGTTTCTGACCATGTCCATCCCTTTATGGCCACCATGTACCCATCCTCTGATGGCTACTTCCACCATGTCACAAAGCTCTAATCATTTCAAATTGGTTTCTTGAACATGACAATGAGTTCACTGTACTAAAATGGCCTCCACAGTCACCAGATCTCAACCCAATAGAGCTTCTTTGGGATGTGGTGGAACGGGAGATTCGCATCATGGATGTGCAGCCGACAAATCTGCGGCAACTGTGTGATGCCATCATGTCAATATGGACCAAACTCCCTGAGGAATGCTTCCAGCACCTTGTTGAATCTATGCCACGAAGAATTGAGGCAGTTCTGAAGGCAAAAGGGGGTCCAACCCGTTACTAGCATGGGGTACCTAATAAAGTGGCCGGTGAGTGTATATATATATATATATCAATAGCCTGTCGGTACTTAACATTGACTAATTTACTATTCACAAACTTATAAAGTGAAGGTTTTCTCAAGTATTCCGGTCACTTTTTTCAAAATTATTACTATTACAAGTATGAAGACTATATGGAACTGAAGACTATATGGAACTGAACCTAAAGTTATCTAAATAGTGTCCTTTAAAAATGCTGTTTTCTGATGGCAAAAATACTTATCTTTAAATGTATTATGAGATTCATCTATTGTTGTTATTTATGCAGTGTTTTGTTTTTTTGAGCATGAGGAAAGGCCCCATTTTAAAGCTTTATTTTTGCACTTTTTTGACTGGCATGTTTTGGTTGAAAGAGATAAAAATGGGTGCTGTGTGTTGCCTTTTGCTGACCTGAGATCCTGTCGTCCCTCAAAATGACAGCACAACCTTTTCAGAGCCTTTAGAGTCAGCAGTTAACACGACAGGACCGAGGTGTGCACATGCACGCACACACACACACACACACCACAGCAGCCCTTTTCAAACTGACACATCATAAAATAAAGTCCACGTGTGCACTGAAAATGCAGCAAAATTTTATTTTATATTCATTCTGAATAAATTAATCCAATTAAATGATTGAGCAGGTATATAATACTCATTTAATAACAATTTAATAATGTTTTATATGTCTAACTGACAAAATTGTGGAGGGGTGGTTGTCTAATGGTCATGCATTATGCATGTGATATACAGATTTTTCTTGAATTTTTTTAGGTTTGGGATTTGAATCTGTGTTCCCTTAATTTAAAATGTACAGTTGAACACCTGGGTGATCTTTTGAGTTACTGAGATTCCTGAGATCCTCTCTTATAACCTGAGTTTGTGTTTTGTTCTGGGACAGAAAGGCAGCTCACCTTTAGAAAACTTGTGCAGCTGGTAGAAAGAATAGAGATGAGAGGAGAAGGAGAGAATCCAGTAGGCCGTCATCTCCCATCGAGGTAGAGACACCAGCTCCCAATTTTGTGTCATGGAAACTGAACCTACAGGTTAGGAAGATACACTGTGATTGGTAAATCACTAGACTAGGAGTTTTGTCACCTGCAAACATCATGATTTTCATAAGTGAATCAAATTGGATTAAAAATAAGATTAAACTGTATTTTAGGAGGATGTGACAAGGTGTTTCATAGACTATAATCCCGCATAGTCAAATTTACGGAATATTAGCTAATATCTAAAAGATGTCATTCACCAGTAATAAGATTAAAATAAATGCGTTTCATGAACTACTTTATCTCCTTACCACAATTAACTCTACATAATCCTCGACTATAGCTGCTATATCAAGGAACCCCGAAATAAGAGGAGCCTGTGAAAATCGTGTTCAATAGTTCAATTGGGATGTAAAGTCCATCAAGATTTATTTGCTCAGAGTCATTCACCACTTTAAACAGATAAAAAGGTTTCTTTACACAAGCTAGCTAACTACATTATCATATCGCAAGTTTCGCAACAATTCCTGACCTATAAATATTTGCATAAACGTTTCAGTTACTCACATAAACAACAAACAGAAAAACTCTCGTGCCCGCTAAACGCTGCCGTGAAGCTCCGCCCTATGCTTCCGAGATTTGTCACGTCCCCGGATCCTGATTGGCTATTCTAACTACTACGTAATATCTAAATACAAGGGAAGCGGATTTGCTTAACCCTTAAGTCTGCTTTAATCCATAAGTTTCGTTTTGGCCAGTCCATTTTACTGCAAATTACAGATGTAACTTTTGTAATTAATCACACATATCCTGACTTCTCATACGCTGGAAGGTTCTGGCTTTAATGAACATATGGCTCAATAATGCTGTCCAGTGTGCATAACTCGTTCAGAAAAGGTAGCATTATGAACAAATGTAAACAAGTTATGCTTACAGCATGTTTACATTAGTATAATTATTTACGTAAAACCCCATAAATTTTCTCTCTCTCTATCTCTCTCTGTAGAATCTCTATAGAAGAAGACATTGTTAATTCACAATGTTCTGATCCAGGATCGTACGCCTAGATGTTCCAGATCTTTATTTTATATATCTTTAAAGAAATGGCCGTCCATTCATCCATCTGTCCTAGGAAAAGCGAGAAGAGGCTATATCTCCATCTGTCCATCCATCCATGTCTGTCTGAATTGCCCCTCTGTAAATATTTCACTAGGGGGCGCAGCCATCTTTGGGGTAGTTGAGTAGGCAGTTCGAGGCTCATGAATGCGAAACAAACGTCATAATAAATATAACACTTTCATGTGACATAAAGACGTTATATGTGATAATATGCAAACATAGCTACGGCTGCTTTTGAAACTATAATTTCACAGAATCTGAAAACAAAACATGTTTAAGCGTAATCTGAATCATACGTTTCGGGTTGTTGTGTATTGTGAGTGCATGACGACCGTAGGCTACAATCCAATATTATGTAACATTCAAAACTCCCAGTCAAAAGAAATAGCGGTGTTGTAATCGATTGTAAAACGCACAGCACAGCTTGTCAACAAGTTTCCTCCTCCCTCTCTTTCTTCGGAGGATCAGTCACGGTCACGGGCTGTGGTGGAAACTTGAGCAAACTTCACTCCAGCACATGACTGTGCGGGAAAATGGCTGGACGTGTGAGCACAAGCTTGCTGACTTCTTTGGTCAGGGAAAACATTGTCTTTAGAAACAAGAAATGTTTGCACAAAAGTGTTGTGTTCATCTCACGGTGTCATGCGAGGTCTCAGTCCAGCAGCGGCAGCATCAGCGCGGCTCAACCGGACCTCAGCTCGCATCTCGCTGGAAAGACCTACGCAGATCTATATGAACTTTCAGTCAAAGATCCAGAGACTTTCTGGGGATCCATCGCCAAGGAAAGATTGGCATGGACCAAACCTTTCTATCAAGTGGCGGACTGTGATCTGTCTAGCGGGAAAATCAACTGGTTTCTTGGAGGGCAATTGAATGTCTCGGGTGAGTCGCACCTTTTCTTTACTCTTAAGTTACTCCACTTCCCAATATTTCTTTCTATCTGAACAAAAAGTTATGAGTGTATTTGATCTTAACTGAGATGATTTTTTATTTTATTTTTACATTTCCCCATGCTTTGTAATTGCACAAAGAACAACTTTCTTGTCAGCAGTAAGCGCAGTAATTCCTCTTATGATTGACAGTGAATTGTTTGGATGTGCACGTGGCAAAGGATCCAGACAGAGTGGCCTTGATTTGGGAGAAAGATGAGCCTGGCACAGAGGAAAGGATCACATACAGGTACATTTGCTCCTGACTCCTGAGAAATGCACATGTGGCCAGTGGCCTTATCAACCCCCACCCACAGTTGTACAACATTTTTTACACACAGGGGTTATAGTAAGCAGTTTTAACATGTGTTTTTTAAACTAACTTTTATGTTGCTGTTTCTTTCTTTTTTTTATTGTCAGTATAGTATATTCAAGTAGTGACTAGTGGTCTTGTTTAGTGACTAGTGGTCTGTTTGTCACTAGTGCTTATTCATATCACAGCATGCTGGTTGCTTTGCTTCTGGTTACTAATCCCAGTATTTATATACTAAGTATTTTAATCATTTTAAATGAGCTTTTATTTGTATATTTTCAGTTTTAGTAATATTGTATGTGCTTTTGTCATTTTTATTAGTTTTTCCCAATATAAATTTAAGTTAGGTTTAAGTTAAATACTTCAGCTTATTTTATTTTAGTTCAAAATTTTCATCTAATATCTATATTTCAGCATTATTTCAATAATTGAAAACAATGCAAGTTATTGAGAACACTGCAAGTTACTATTCCAGTGGAATTGAGAACAAATGACACATTTTGCTATTGAATTCTGTTCAAATAAGAGTAGGACTGTATGTAGTACTAGTATGCTCATTTCCACTAGTTTTTCCTTTTGATTTCTTGTGCCATAATTTAAGTCTCACTTAAAGTTATTTAAGTTACTTTAAAAACACTAAGAATATCCGTTGTTCATACTGTTCTTTATAATGTTAGGGATAGAAAGGGTTAACGTGGTATTAGAGCTCACAACTGAAGAGTTTGGGGGGAATTTCTTCACATGCACTTTCTGGTGGAGAACAAAGGCTGGTTTTGAGGTTCCTGTGATGGAATGTGAGTTCCCCCGCTCTCTAGTGCCTGAAGTAAGGATTGAATTTTCCTGGCTCTGTTTCAGATCACTGCTGTTAACAGTAAGCTAAATATTTACAGGATCTACTGTCCTCACTGTTACCAAAACACAATGGTCAGGAGGCCAGTTTGCTCTGATCTAGCCTGCTCACCGAACCTTGAAAATTAACCATTTATCATCTTTTATTACGGAGATGTGAAGATTAATTTCCCCTAGTATCTCTTGTTCTAGGTCAGATGGGAAACATTTCAGGGTGTTTTGTGAAGCAGCAGTCAGATTGCACAATCAGTCTATGTGTGTAAAGGATTTCACCGTTAGCACAGCGCATGAACGCGTCACTTTCCTGCTTCCGTGGGTAAACAGGAAGTTAGAAGACATTGATTCACATTAGTATGAAAGTGAAAGTGTTTTGATTCTGATCTCACAACCATATGGAGGAGATAAAAAAAAACTTGAGGCGTGACGTATGTACAGTGCAGGCTGTACTGTAGGGTTCTCTGCTTAGACAAACACGTGTCTGTTTCTCATTTATGATCCGTTGAATGAAGATTAACTGTTTCCTCCTCGTAATAATATGTTCAGCAGGCCAACAAAAGCTTGCCGGTACTTTATTTTAGTGTAAATAAATTCATCATAGATTAAACTACACCCCATAAATGGCAGTTTGAAATCAGATGTGCATAATGACCATGATGTGACTACTATGTTCAGCACTTGAAGCACTTGAAATTTAACCATCACAGATTACTTTCCCACCCGCATTATTTCCTGTTACTCAGCTGTATGTTTATATCTTTAAAACATTCAAATCTCAGGGAGCTTCTGGAGATGACCTGTCGTCTTGCCAATACGTTGAAAAGTCATGGAGTCCAGAGGGGAGAGCGGGTGGCCATCTACATGCCTGTGTCTCCCATGGCAGTAGCAGCGATGTTGGCCTGTGCCCGTATAGGTGCCGTACACACTGTGGTGTTTGCAGGGTTCAGCTCAGAGGCTCTGGCTGGCAGAATTCAGGATGGTGAGTAAAATAATGTGGCCTTTTTTTCCAGCTGTAAAATCATTTTTGCTAGAGCGGTACTACAAATTGATGCAAAAAAATAATTGTGATGTTTTCAAACTAACAGCTTTTTTCATGTTATTTCAACCTGAGGTTAATTATACAGCTTACCATCTCTGGGAGCCATGTGTCACTATTAAATATGATCTGGCAAGAACAAGTTCTTGTATATTTGGAAACATTTTTTGTGAAATTGTGTTTGAAACTATCTAAACACAGAAATTGGAGAGGAGCACTGAGAAAATGATGCGCCATCATTGGTGGGATTGGTCAGTATAGTTCTAGGATGGAGTTCAGTTGCTCAAATTTCCGGCCTATTTAAAGGTGCAGTAAGTGATTTCTGAGAAACTGTCAGGGTTCTGTCACTCCAGTCTAGTTTATTCTTGGTTTTGTGACAGGGCCCTGACTGTCCTGAAACTGTATTTTCTTGTTTTTGTCTGAGTGTGCGGTTTCGAGCCGTGCACTCACTTGTCTGTGTGCCTTGTTTCAAGTTTGGAGCGTGGTGTTCGGATTCCGGCACTCATGTCTAGTTTGGCTTCGGTTCTTTGTCGGGATTCGGACATTCATCCTCTGTGTGTTTTTCTTCTGTTGTGTTGAGCGCACAGATTAAGCATTCGCTCATTCTTCGTGCGCTCCGTCTTGTTGTGTGAGTGTGCGGTTTCGAGTTCACTCGGGTCGTACGCTCTTCTGTCAGGGTGTTGTGTTCTGTGTAGCTCGCGGTTCATGTTTACATCAGCCGCGTGCTTTTTCGTTGTCGCACGTGGCTCGTATATTTATCAGCCGCGTGCTTTCATGTTATGTTTTGTCTTGTGTTGTGCAGCACGCAGCTTGTGTTTTTGTTTTATTTTTTATTAAATAAAAAAGCCCTTTTCTGCATCGAGTCCTCGCTTCATCCCATCACCCCAACCCTGACAGAAATGCTGTTAAAAGTGGATCAGACTGAGCACCACAGCACATTTGTAGCAATCAGCAGCAGTAGCTATGTTTCACTGAACCAAGATGTGCTTTTGTTGTCATTTTAGCTATAGTAAAACAGGACAGTTTTGAGTGTCATTGTTTGTCTATAGCTGGTGTGCTGCTGGCGACTAACAATGGACACTTACTCGTATACTGTTGTGTACTGTATGCAAATTTTTTGTCCTTGTCGTTCATTCGTCATCTTCGCTTTATTTTTCGAGAAGCATTATTTTGCTTCTCTTCAGCTATGATAAAGAGACGTCTACTCTTGCAATGCATGTTTGTGCATTTTGGGGGCGGAGCAATGAAGGGAGGGGTGTGTTTGTTTGGATTGATTTCAAATATCAACAGTGTTCAACAATGTTTCTCAGAAATTGCTTACTGCACCTATAAAGGAAGCATGTAATGGCATCTACAACTTTTTTAGGAGGATTTTTAATGACAAAATTTATGAATTGTTAAATGTAAAATTATTAGTGAAAAAGTGGTTTCT